TGTCCCCCAACCCCCTAGAAGGAAGTTAGCCTGTGCAGGAAGTTGGTAGTCTCCATCTGTCCTGACAGCACCCACCCGTCACCAGGGCCCCAGGCAGTGAGCCAGAGCAGAGGTCATTTTCTACCTCTGAGGCTGAGGTTACTACTCTTGCTTTAAGAATGGGGAAACTGAGGCTCATATCCAAATCTGTAATCATCCTCAGGATATGTGTTGTGATGACAACCTTGAGCATAACATTTAGGGAAGAGAAGCTGATTGCCTACCTGCCTGGGTAACTTAGCCCTAATCCAGAAGGACGTTAGCTACAATTTGAAGTGAGGTCTGAGGATAGCTTTGTTCTTAGAGGTGAAGTCTTAGTGAAAGAAGCTGACTTTTAAAATGGAAACAAGATGCTGCTTAGGGAGAGAGGAGAAAATAACAGAGCAGTTTCCCCTGTATCCAGCCTTTGACAACTTAACACGTTAAGATAACGTGAATCCTCTAAGCAAGGCTGTTGGAAGTCTCCAGGTGAGTTTCTGTTTCCTTGGTGGAGAGGTGTAGAAGTGTAACCAGCTTGTGAGTAGAAGGACAGAACATCCAGGTGATCTGTGAGGCCCTCAATTGAGGGCATTTATGGTTTTGTGACTAGACATTCTGTTGTTATGGATCTTCCCATGGATAGTTTCCTTGGCCTGAGCACCACTGTATGGGGCCTCTGCTTCCTGAAAGTAGAGGGGAGCCAGCTTCTGTTGTCCTGTGGCTCAGATGGGCTCCCTCACATCCCCACAGGATGCCTCAGCCCAGAATTGCTTTAGCTCGGGGTGACAGAGGGTGGAGGCAACAGGACTTACTTTACTAGTGGGAATTCATGACTAGGGCCTTTCCAAGGGGGTGTGGGTGGAGAACAGGGAGAGTTACACAGGTACACAGGACACAGAAGGCTTGGCATCTGGTAGCAATGGCTACCTCCATGAGGCTTTCTATCTCTGAGCTCCAAACCTAGGACAGTGGACTCCCAATATGTCTTGGGCCCCTAACATCACCTGGGAACTCACTGGAAATGATGAATCCATGGGCCCCACTATAGCAGTGGGTGACCTGCCCAGCCCTCTAGGTGATTCTGGCATGCTGGCATTGGAGGACTCCCACCCTAGGCAATCTTATGTCCCTGGGCCTGGGAGATCTTCTGCCTACCCTAGAAATTGACTACTGGTCAAAGTGGGGCAAGTTGTTCCTTTTAGGCTATCGAGAGCACACAGAGCCGGACTTTGTCCGAAAGGACATAGCATCTTCATAGACTAATTTTATCCCCCATGACCAACCAAAAAATCTGGTTTCTGAAAGGATCCCCCCTGTGTCAGATCCAGATCTAAGCCCACACTCTTTAGATGCTGTATTGGGCCTCTTTTTTTTTTTTTATAGATTTTTTATTTGTTTATTTGACACGAGAGAGATCACAAGTAGGCAGAGAGGCAGGCAGCGAGAGAGAGGGAAGCAGGCTCCCCACTGAGCAGAGAGCCTGATGTGGAACTCGATCCCAGGACCCTGAGATCATGACCTGAGCTGAAGGCAGAGGTTTAAACCACTGAGCCACCCAGGCGCCCTGTATTGGGCCTCTTGAAAGGAACAGATGCTGATGAGGATGGGGCCCCCTGGACTTGCCTGTAAACATCCCAGACCCTCAGAAAAGAGGCAAGGGCTAGTTCCCTGCAGGCCCAGCATGCCCCAGCATCCCCACAGACATCAGGCCTTGCTGGACTCCCAACTGTCTTGTTCTTCATCCCTGAAAAAAAGGAAATCAACTCCAGACATTGCATTTACTTCAACTTTGGATGCCATGAGGTCTAAAAGGGTACTGGTTAGGGCTTTGCTGCCGCACAGACGTGTACATGTTCTTTATACTGTGCTCCAGGAGCCATGGCAAGAGTCTCATGAGGGGTAGGAAATTGCCCCAGACCTGCCTTTGCTTGTATGGGCCAACAGCATCTGCCAGGGTCAGCCATGAAGACACCACATGCTGGTCTGGGTGTGCAGGGGCTTCGCAAGCCCTCGCTTATGCCATGACTTTTCCTCATCACTTGTCTCTTTCCCACCAAGGTCCTTCTTTCAGGGGACTTTGGGGGAGAAGTGGTTTGCTCATCCAGGAAGGTGTGTGCTCTCCTAAGGGCCCTTCCTCCCACTGAGTCCCTGTCCCATTTCTTCCTGAAGTACCACCCATGCCTGCCCTTTATGCTTCTGGGTGAATTCCTGCTCTGGCAGATTGCAAACACATGCTTTGCCCCTTGTCCTGGTCTCCCAGCCAGACTGCAGATGGCCTTTTGAAATCCTAGCACAGACTCTCCCTTCACATTCCCTTTCCCTCCAGGTGGCGTTTCTCCTGTTCCTTTAGCTTCTTTATTCTGAACATTTCTACATTCTTACAAACCCAGTTGCCTTCAGAAGGAGCCCCACGCTCTCCAGAAACTCCCAGTGATCGCCAGTCCTTGGCTGAGGATAATCAGGGGAGATACCCAGCCATCCCAGGACTGGGAGGCGAGAGGTGAGGGACTGCTCCTGGCCCCGCCAGATAGCTTGTTGTGTGGCCTCAGATTTGTCAGGTGCCATCACTGGGTCTAGGGAGGGAAGCTGTCTGGACAGAGTGGGGTGTTAACTTAGAGCATCTAGAAAGTGTTTAACGAGGAAATTCCAACTGAGGAACCAGACATGGAGTAGGTAGCCAAGCCAGAGGCCCACTGTTGCTGAGTGGGAGTGTGGTTTAAGGAAAATAGGAAGCCCATGCAGGAAAAGTCTAGAGCTGAAAGCACCTGAGAGATGGGGAAGGCACGTGTGAGGTCAGGGTGACATGAAAGAGGTCAGGGTTTAGGGAAAAGTCTGGAGCTCTGTACACATAGGAGCAATATAGATGGGCAGCACATACATGCAGGACGCCATGGATTTGCTTCCAGGTCCTTTGCTGAGCATGCTGGTTGAGCAAAATTTTGGATCTTGGCTGCCTTGCATTCTTAGCCTACTTCATTTTATATCGAGCAGCTTGAGCGATCGGCCAGCGGTCCAGACCCTGAACTGTGGCAGCTCCTATAATGTGCTCCAGGTGCCAGGTACCCTGCGGCAACTGGTCTACCTCTGGGCCACCCTTGGGTGTCCTGCCCCAGCGAGGTGTTGCAGTCTGAGCCAGTTACCATCTGGGTCTCCACGTGTCACCTAAATCTCCTCAGCCCTTTCAAGTCCACTTGCCTGCACTCATTCCTTGCCTGGCTTCTGGCTGCTAAATGCCCCCTGCCCTTGGCCTGCTTTCTGTCACTTTAAACACATTTGAATTTTTCTTTTCTTCCTTCGCCCCACCCCCCAAATGCTGCTCTTTCTCAGTTTTCTTAATGGTCATTTTTGGACTCACTTTGCTCAGCAGTTAGCAGATCTTCAGGTCTTCTCCGAAACATATTCAGTTATGCTACCGTTTTTGGATGCGCAACAGTAATTTTCTCACAATTCTTCCCTAAGGAAATGAAAGGATCCCAGGATGAGACTCTGGGAGTGTTGCTTAGGAGGAACACACATTCATTCTTCATGGGGCATCCCATCCTGGGGTGGTTCTCCAGGTGTGGTCCGGACGAGCAGCAGCAGCAGCCTCGCCTGGCAACTTGATAGAAATGCACAGCCCTGTTGGGCACGGGATCCCGCAGTCTGTTTTGATAGCCCTCCTGGAGAGGTGGACGCACATTCCTATTGAAGAACCAGTGCAGGGCGCCTGGGTGGCCCAGTCAGTGAAGCATCCCACTCTTGGTTTTGGTTCAGGTCATGATCTTATGGGTCATGGGATTGAGCACCTCATTGAGCTCCGCACTCAGCAGGGAGTCTGCTTGAGAGTCTCTCCTTCTGCCCCTCCCCCTACTTATGCTCGCTCACTTGCTCGCTGGCAAATAAATAAATCTTAAAAAAAAAAAAAAAAAAAAAAAAGACCAGCGCTACCATCACAAAGCATGTGGATTCTGATTAAGTTGTGAGCCATGAGGCCAAGTGGAAGTTGCTGTAGGAGTGGATAGTATAAGGAGAGAAGCATCTTGCTAGCACCCCTCCAAGCATCGTGGGAAGGAGCAAAATCACCTTGGCCTGAGTTAATCTGGCTGTTAAAGCACCAATCCCTAAAGCACCAATCCCTAATGCAGGGTGGTGAGGAAACTCAGTCTTGTTCTGGAAGTATTCACTTCAGGGGCAAAAGTGGAGAGGGGAGTTTTAGCAATTTAACTACTGAACAATTAAATACTCCATGTTCACCATACTATAAATCTAGGTATGTTGTTTTGCAGAATATAAAACCCATGCATTTATTTTTAAAGGGAGAACATGAGTTTATATCTCCTTCCCACTTTTCATGAACTGACTTGGGCTGTGCTATCCAGAGCCACTCAGGGTCAGGTCACTTATCTCTGATCACACCCAGGCCTTTTTGAAAGGTTTGGGAGACAGGAGTCTTCTTGGGTTGGGTCTTAACAGAGAACTGGGGGGGTGCTCATTCCCAGGCATGTCTCAATGAGCTCTGGGCTTCCTGACCTCAACAGGAAAGTCAGGGTGGTTGCTCCAGACTGTTCTGCTGGCTCTTCCAACCAAGACAGAGGTTGCCCCATGTAGCCCCAAGAGAAATGTGAATCCAGTGAAGTTATGGCCACCCTGGAAGGTGTGTGGGAGTCAGAAGCTAGCGTCTGCCTCAGGTAGTGCTCGGAGGGGCAGGCTTCCAGCCTCAGTGGGACTTCTGAGGACTTTTTTGCCTTCACACCCCCTCCTCTCTAACAAATAATTTAAAAATATGTATGACAACTATGTGGATATAAAGACAGACTATGAGCTAGATTCTATTCATTTTTTTCTCTTCTGATTTTAAAATATTTTCTCGGGCCTCTGAAAGTATGGTGGGCCCCAGGCACCACGCTTGCTGGGCCTAGTGGAGAAGTCAGTGCTGCTGAGATCCTCTTTGAAAATCTCTCCGAGTCTTAAACCTGCAATAACCGAGCCCTTTGGTCATTCAGAAAATTGGCTGTGATGGCATCATCGGGTCCGCGGCCAAGGAAGACCGGTGTGGAGTCTGCAGTGGGGATGGCAAGACATGCCGAGTGGTGAAGGGTGACTTCAGCCACTCTCGGGGCACAGGTGAGTGTGAAGCCCAAGGGCAAGGTGACCCTGGCCTTTCCAAGAGGGGAGGATGGGTGAGGGGGAGACCCAAGGGCTTACTGTAAGTGCAAGACAGCCTACGGTATTTATATATTTTATTCCCTTTGCACAAAGCCGGGGATCACCTGCCTTCCCTGCACTTCACTGATAAGGGCTAGTCGGCGATAGGTGACCTGGCGCGTCAGTGTGAGGACTGCTGAAAGGCAAAGAGAAAACACATTAGCCAGAATATCTTGAGGTTCCTAGATGTGAGTAGTTTGCCCGACCAACCAGACCCCCTGAAGCTTCATGTCAGCCCATCTTCTGATGGGACACCTCGCCATGTTGTTTTCACCTACAGATAGAAGAGGTTTTCTCAGAGTTTTCTTTCAGTTAAAGTAGGACAGAGTTTATACACATCCCTAAATGGCTCATAAAGCCATTTCTCCCTGGAAGCCTGATTTGCCTCTGCCGACTGTGAATGCAAAGTAGGGGAGTCTCCTGTTTCCCAAATGTAGGACCCCCCGCAAAGCTGTGCTTAGAGAAGACTGTCAAAGTTCAGCTGATGGGTCTTTCTGCGTGAACCACCTGCACAGCTATAGGCTGCTTTGCCCAGGGGTGGGAGATGGTTTCTGATTGCCTGTCCTGGAGAACATCAGCTTATGGTGCCCAACGTATCTGGGTTGATACGTACCTAATGAGAAGAGCAGGAGGCAGGCAGGTCATCTGGGGAGAAAACTCTTCTGGAAGCCTTACAGAGTGTCTACTCACCCATCACCAAGAGCAACATCACCAACATAACTTGTTGGGTGGAACTGAGCTGAAAAGCCCCTATTTCAATTTGAATGATGGCTTTGGATAGAAGATTGTCAGTTCAGTGTTACCTCCACAGGAGAACAAAATCGCGGGCAGGCCTCTCTGTCCCACAGTGTTGGGTCCATGGTCAAAGGAAAGAGACCGATACAAAGCAAAGGTCAAGCAAAGCTTTATTTCACGCTAAGCATCGCGAATCAAACTGACCGGCCAGGGCCTTCTTTTACAAAGAGGCGATGACTCTCTGCCTTACAGACTAGCTTTTAAGGGCAAAAGCCATGTGGTTGGACCTGGCCACGCACAGGTGGCCAATGTGATTGTAACACAGAGAAAGCTGCACAATCCTGCTAGGTCACACATCAGTGACCAATTGAATTACAGTTTACCCAATAGTAGATATTTGAACTAGCCTATCACCTTGGTCAGAATGGGTGCCCAAAAGGCAACCAAAGGGCGGGGCCCATACTCCTTGGTAGCTAGGAGACAGTATGCACCCCCCTGATTGAATACCTCCACCTGACCTGACTCACCCTTGTATTTGGGCTTTGCTACCTGGGACTAGTTTCCGGGACTTGTTTTAAGTAAGTCCCCTGGGGGAAGGGGGTCAGGGACAGTTTAAGTTTTACTGTATAAACAACAAAGTCATTATTTAACGGATGGCATCGCTCTTGCTGAATAGGTCCTTACAACGGAACATAGGCCCCTGGGACTGAGGCGGAGAGGAGAAGTCCGTGTATGATCCCCAGTCTCTATATGGATGGGAGACCTGGTCTAGAGGAAACATTCCTTCTCGATAACTTGCAGAAATGGTAACCTATTGGGCAAGCATTTTTTTTGCAGGATCTTGTAAAAGCGAAACCAGAGGCCAATGCAAGCACAAAATTTTAATTTTAAGATTACGCTTAAAAATGACATTTCAGGCCAGGTTTCTGGATTTTAAAGACAGGTGCCCAGCCTGTGCAATAAGAAACGTATGAGAATCTGTGCCTGCCACATCAATCCTGAGATAAACTGAGGAAGGAAACACTAGAGCATGTCGGTTTGGGGGGAAGTACCCTCCAAAGCTGCATCATCCAGGACAGTAGCCACAGGCCACTTTAGTCTATTCAAATTTTAATTATAATTAAAATTTAAATTTGAAATTCAGTCCTCAGTCCCACTAGCCACATTTCAGGTGCTCTGTGGTCACGTGTGGCTTGGGGCTCCTGTGCCAGATAGCCCAGAGAGAGAATGTTTCCATCACTGCAGAAAGTTCTGGAACAACACTGCGCTGGAGCTTTGGTGATTTCTATATATTTTGACATGTCTGTGGCCACTTCCTCTATTTGGGTCCCAGCTCCCTGTTGCCATGAGACTTTGACCTTGCCTAATGTGCCAGCAAGGGGAGCGAGGAGCAAAAACCTCTGCAGTTGGCAAGTTTGACTACTGATTTAAAAAAAAAAAAAAAAAAAAAGCATTAGAACCCTTTATTTAAGTCAGATGTGTTGAGCTCCGATGAACTGAACTGACCACAGTTGCTCCCTTCTGTGGAAGGTGGGTTGAGCACAAACACATCCACTTTTGCCCCCTGGGCAATTCACTAGAACACCAAGGCCCTTTCTGCCACAGGCCTTTGAAAACCTCCATGGCAAGCAACATAGCAGCTCACTTCCAAAAGAGTCCTGATGGAGCAGAAAAACGTTCTCTCTTTCCTACCCCTCCCCCCAGTCTAATCCCCTTGTTGACCTTTGATCTCGACAGGAGTAAATCCATTCTCCCAGTCACAGTAATTTTTTTTTTCTTTCTCTCCTCTTTCTCCATCCTACCTAGTGCCTGGGTCCCATCTGTGCAAGGGAGGAAGGTGAGCAGGAATGTGCAGCCTTCCTCCTAGGGTGGTCAGGATTCTGGGGCTCAGGCAGTGAGTCCCTCCTGGAAGGACAGATTGCCATTGGAAGCCTCCGGGGGGGGGGGGTAGCTGTCCCCACCCTGGCTTGTGGTGTTATGCTTCCTTCCAACTTCTGGGGCACAGAAGTCTTAGGGAGGTGGTTTTGGAGTATAGGTGAGGTTCAGTGGGGTGAGGTCCAGAGATGACAAGCAAGAAAGAATTCTTGAGACATTTTTGGTGCAAAATGGTGGTTTTATTAAAGCACGTGGACAGGACCCATGGGCAGAAAAAGCCACCACACTGGGGTCTTGAGTGTCTGATTAGATACTCAGGAGTTGGGGGACTAAGGAAAAGGAAGATTTCAAAAGGACTTTCATATGCTAAAGAGGGCCAACCTATAAGATACCAGAGGTCTTGCCATTGTCAAGTTCAGGTTGTCTTCCCTTCTAGCAAGGTATTAACATTTAGTTGGGAGATTCCTGGAAGAATGTCCCACAGGTCCCACCCAGGAGTGTGCAGTTGAGGGGAAGTTGCAGGTGTCAGCTTATGTTTGGTCCTCAGCTAGCCTTCTGCTCCCTCATCATTGACAAACCTTCCAAGAAAGGTAAGCACCATTCAGCTTCTCCCACCTGGAAATTTCTGTTCTTCTGAGCAGTTGGCCAGATGTTACATCTTTGTTCTAAAGTCTGAAGCCAGTTACTTCCAAATCCTCACCATCAGATTCTGTGAGCAGAAGCTCCTGTCAGTGTGGATTCTTCTTCCCGAGGCTGTGCGTGAAATGCTCACTCACACATGAATGAATCACTGTTTAATAGCGTTTCATCAAACGCAAAGATGACATTCTGGAATATACTTTTGCAAAGATACTGACAGTCACCCAGTAAACATTAATGCGACACTACTAGATTTTAAGCATGAGGTGTACAGAAATAAAAGTTAACAGCCACCCAGTCAGTCACCACGGAGGGAGGGTACCCCCAGGCAAGGAGCTTGAGTCCACGTGTGAGGCGAGGCAGCTCAGTGGGGGGTGCTGTGGGGCCTCAAATTCTGGTGGGTCCCCTAGCCCAGGCCTGCTGAAAGATGAGGGTGGTCCCTGAGCCTTAAAAGACAGGTAAAAATGAACTAATAGTGCCACTGGAGGAAGGACATTTCAGGCTGAAGTGAAAAAAAAACAAACTTTGAAATGGTATAAAGCCCCCTGGATCAGGTAACGGGCAGATTCACTAATCCTGTCAGTTTAGATAGGAAGGTGACTTTCATCTCCGGGCATCTAGAAAGACTGGGAGAAGGAAGAATGTCTTATCACCCTTCAGGGTGAATGTTGGAAAGAAATGCCACACCAGAAGGATAACAAGTAATCAAATGCAGGAGTTTTGCCTAGTTAGATGAAGTCCTGACCCTTGCCTGAACTTGCCTGGATTTGGTCATGAAAGTGCTTGAACTGAGACTCCAGAGAGGACCCACACAGGCCCCAGTGTCCACAGACCCCAGGAGGTCCCCCTCTTGTGTCCTTTAGAGGTCATCAGCAGTGAGTGGGGTTATGACATTCTGAGTGTAGGCTCTTTATTACCCCCTGACCTATTGACCTCGGACTTTGGAATAAGCAAAGTCCTCAGCAACTCAACTATGGGAAGAATCTTCTCGAATGGCTATTGTATTACGTCTTTCATGGATGGGCTTGAACATGCTCAAGGCTTTGGTTGAGTTGAAGCAGCGGAGTTTTTTAATTTAGTAGCTTAAACGTTCTTGGTATGATGCCTCCACTTCATTCAAGTGTGACTGTAACTATTTTATCTTTATTTTGTGCTCTTCCTCAGTGCTGCAAGGGTGACTAGTAGCCCCTGCAGTCACCACAGAGAACCATCCATGGTGCCCCATGGGTTCTAAATTGCTTTGCACTTATCCTCAAGGAGAACCTTCTCGAACAATGAATTCTTAAAAGGGAAAGTGACATGATCTATCCCTTTTGAGTGTGGATAGATCTGCAAGTCACGTATTTATTTAGTAATTATCTTTAGAAACTCTGACACATGCCACGTTCTTTTCTCTGGGTGTGGGGTATGGAAGAGCCATGGGGAAATTTACGTGATGACAGATAATGATGCTTCTCACCACTGTGATTAAGAACTACAGTATCAGTTCCTGAAATGTACCTAGAAACCAATGACCGTGTATTTCTTTTCCTCAGTCAAGAATAATCTTTGTACGAAGGTGTCCACATGTGTGATGGCAAAGGCTGTTCCCCAGTGTTTCTCATGTAAGATGTTTATGTGTCATGCGCTGCACTCGAGGTGATGCATCTGGTGTGGGATTCTTTCCTTGCTTCCGTGCCTGAATGTTTTCTGAGCCAAGTCAATGAGAATGAGTCATGCATGAAGCCATGGATAAACTCAAAGGCCTTTTGTCATTTCTGTATAATTGATGTTTAAGACTTACTGCCAAAAAGAAAAACTATAGAATAAAACTAATTTTTAAAGCTGTGAAAGGTAAAGAGTTATGAGATCAAAGACCAGACAGAAACTTATGTCAATATGCCAAGGGATACATCTTCATTCTCCTCAGCCACACCTAGCTCTTGGGCAGAAAAATGCTATGACTTGCTGGAGAATTTGCCGCAGATTGTCCGATCTTCCATAGAGAAGGGTCCATATCACAGACTTGGACTTCCCAAAGGGCAGGGGATCACATCCTCCTGGTCTTCATAGTAGAGATAAGGTCACGGGCCCACCTACACCGATCTCACATTCTGGGAACTGAACAAGGGTGTGAGTCTGGCCCCACAGGCTTCCCAAACAATGAGGTCTTTCCAGTGAGACCCAGAACAATCCCTGGGGGTAGACATAAACATAGTAGTATGTTTATACTCATAAACAACTTTCTGTTAAAAAAAAAAAAAAAAGGTCAGGGGACTATAAACTTATACAAAAACCTCTCCAAGCATTTTATAAGACAAATTACCCCCCCAAAAAACAAACAAAAAACACTTTTTGGGCTTTTTTTGTTTTGTTTTGTTTTGTTTACATGTTCAGTACAACATTATGAAAGGGTCCCAGGCTACACAGCCAGAGTTTCACCTGCATTCTATCACAGTACCTTACTAGCACAATGGTTTTCTTCCTAGAAACACAAGGGCAAAGTGTGACCACATCATCTAAAAGCAGGTCCACTTGGGGTATTCAGACAAAAAGTATTTTGTAGGGGAATGTGTTCATAGCCTGGTGATAGTAACTATTCAGAAGATTTGAGATAGGTTTCAAGTTAACATCGCATGGACGTTCTTTCTGACTACTTGTCCTGACAGCAAAAACGGTATGTTTTCCTAAAAGGATGGCAAAGGCATTGAATGTTAACTATGGCTTCTTCATGAAACCAAATCATGTCCCTTTAACTGGATGGCTCCTGCTTGATGGCAGAGACTAGAATGGAAAATTATTCCGAAGATAAAGTCTTGCCTGCCCTACCTAAATTGTGACTTTATCTTGTAAATTCTTAGTGTCCATCCCCTCTTTCATTATTTTCCATGCCCAGTCAACATGTGGTATCTGGCATCCGCCTGAGGGGCCATCTGGTATGAGGGATGACCAGATGCTTTGGGACTTGGTGATGGGCCTCCTGCCGTTGCTGGCCACTCTCTATACCAGCCTCAGCATGGGCTTTGAGCTGTGGGTCCAAAGAGGGGGAAAAAGGACAGTGAAGTAGAGGTGATTTCCTTGGTTTGTGGACTGAACACCTGCCTTTTCTTTCAGGATTTTTCTTTCATTAGTTCTCTGCAAATCTTAGAGAGGTTACCAGAACCCACTCATGGCAGTGACTCCCCTGCCCTATTATTCGGTGGTCACCTGAGGATGAGCCTCACGTGATTTTATGTCTGCCCCGAGCTTTTTATTACTCATCTGCTCTGCCCCCAGCGTAGTTGAAAGAGGAGAAAAGACAGGTACCTTTTCAGAGTTACTACTTGTGCCAACATTAAGTTTAAACATAGGTGTGGTGCCTATGCATTGGTTGCAAATGGCCTACCTTGCTGTGGAATGTGGAAAATGAGCGACTCTGGATCTTGGTGGATGCATCCATTACCCCCAATTTTAGCAGCCTGGTAATGCTGACATTAAGGCTTACTAGTCACAAAATAGGAAGATTCCCCATAACAGCAGCTTTTTTTCTGGAAACATTTCAGCTCCCTAAGCAGATCCTGTTCCCAGGTCCGTTTTGTGGTTGAAATGGAGACTCCTCCCCAAAAAGGTTTCCATCACGTTGAACCTGAATAATTTTGTCTCATTTTTGGCACTTCACTGTCTTGTATGCTGAGGATCCAGTAATTCTTCAAACTCCCCCAGAAGGAATGAACTTCTCTAAGAGAAATTTGTGGTTCAAAGTCCATTGCTATAATCCTAAAAGATGTATTCTGTTGTTGTTATTTTGTTCTGTTCTGTTTGTTTTGCTTGGTGTTTAGTGGCCAGATGTTTTAAGTAGAAAAACATTTGTGAGAGCAGAAACTGTTTTTAATCAGAACTTCTTGCCTCCCTCTGTGAGGACAGAGTAGTGCCGGGACCACTGGCAGGCCTGTTGAGTTGAGCCAGTGTTGCCATTCCCCATGGCATTGGGAAGTGTCTGGAAGGAATCACACTGGAGGACCACACCCCAGCTGGTTAAAATCATCCTGCCTGGGAATCAGGATCAGGGCATACGAAGTGAGACAACTGTCTTCAGCCCTCAGACCGAACTGTGTTTACATCTGAGTCTCCCTAAGCATCAAGTAGAACAGGAATCTGTAAAACTTCCGGAGCTGGATCTATAACAATGCCCAGGCATTTGCTGTCAAGACTGACAGACGCTGCTGAACTTTCTAAGATGGCAGCTTGAACAAGTGCTTCCTCTCTTCCAACGCTCACCTTAAAATGAATGAAAAGGAACTTATTAAGGGGTGCCTGGGTGGCTCAGTACGTTGAGTGTCTGACTCTTGATCTTGGCTCAGATCTTCAGTTGTGAGGTCGATCCCCACACTGGGCTCCACACTGGGCAGGGAACCTACTTAAAAAAAAAAAAGGAAAGAAAAGGAACTTATTAAGAGGTTTAATGGGAACAAGGACATCTCATATGTACATGATTCTGAATAAATAGACTTGAATTTGCTGCAACAAATGACACAATAACCCCCCCCAAATCTCAGTGGCTTAACACAAAAGTTTATTTCTTGCCCATGTTGCATATCCAGTGTGGGGGGGTAAGAGGGTCTATATGTTTGAGCCACTCATGGACCTGGGCTGACAGATTTTATTGTTCAGATGCTGCCATATTACCTTGGCAGAAAAAAAGGAACACAGCAAATCAGGTCCTGATGCTGTTAAAGCTCCTATGTACACATCACTTTCACACTTATTTTAAGGATCAGAGTAGGTCACGTGGTCACACAGTTTAAGAGAGCAGGGAACTGCATCCTTATCACTTCTGGAGAGAGACCGAGAGATAGTTGGTGGCCAGCAGCACATCATGGCACATGGAGCAAACATTTCACTATTTTGGTTGTCAAGCACCTAACAACGGCTCCCTGCCCCCCCCAGCTGAAAGCCAGTCCTGATGGTCAGCAAACCCCACCCAGGTTGACAGAGACAGCCCATCTGTGGCTTCCTTCCTGAAAGAGTCTGCAACACAAATGGGAGAGACCAAGGATACCTGAAAAGATGACCCACGGGAAAAACAAGATCACTCAAGTAATAAAAGTTGCAGAATCTCTACCAGCTATCCATAAAAAGATTTGAGATGCAATGGTATCCATAAAACTAGTACAGAATGAGAAGAAACCATCAGAAAACAAAAAGATCTCAGAAGTATGACTTTCAAATTAAAAACATATGATAAAGGGCACCAAAAATAAGAGACAGAAAAAAATGTTTGTGTTAAGTCTAGTAAGTAGAGAGTTTGAGTTTAAAACATATTAAATATATGTTAATACATACTAAGATATCCTTTTAAAATTCCTGCTGATAAATAAAAAGCAAGTAGAAAAATGGGCAGTGCTTCTCCGCAAGGCAGTTAACTTAAAAGGAACTGCAAATGGTCAGTCAATGTGCAATAAGAGGCCAAACCAAACTGATTGTGAGAGAAATGCAAATTAAATCTCTATTTTTTTCATCTACTGGATTAGCGAATGCTAAGATCAGCAATTTCAAGTATTTAGAAGTTTATGAATGAACAGACAACCTCATATAGTGTTGATTGACTTGTATACTAGTCAAACTATTATGGAGGGCAGTTGAGCTATCCATGTAACATTTTAGCTCATGCGTATTTGACCCAGCAATTCTCACAGTTGATCAGGTAGAACATAGTATATATGCACAATGAGAGATGTGCAAAGCTATTCATTGCAGGTATCATATCCTTCTTTTTTTTTTTTAAAGCATCTTCATTGAAATAAAATCCACATACCGTAAAATTCAGCCCTTTAAAATGTGCAGTTCAGTGGGCATTTAGTATGTGTACATAGTTATGCAACCATCACCGCTATCATCCTAAGAAGAAATCCCACACTCATTAGCAGTTATTCCCCATCCTCTTCCTACCCGACCCTCAGCAACCATTCTGTAGGTCTTTCTCTCTGTTCTGAACATTTCATATAAATTGCACATGCAATAATGTGGTCCTTTGTGACTGGCTTCTTAACTTAGCATAATATTTTCAGGCTTCCTCCCTATTGTGGCATGTATCAGTCGCTTCATTCTTTTTATTGCTGAATAATATTCCATTGTGTGGTTACACCACATTTTAAAAAATACATTCATCAGTTGATGGGTATTTGAGTTGTTTCCCCCTCCTTTTTTTTCTTTTTTTAGCTATTATGAATAAGGCTAATGTGAACATTTGTATGTAAGTTTTTGCATGGACATGTCTTTCCATTCTTGGCTATGTACCTAGCAATGGAATTGGTCAGTCATACAGTCATTCTGCTTAATTTTGTGGGGAACTGCCAAACTCTTCTCTAAAGTACCTGTACCATATTACATTCCTGATCATAATGAATGAGAGTTCCATTTGCTCCACATTCTCTGTAGGACTTCTTGTCTATTGTTTTGGTTATCAACATCCTAGTGGGTATAAAGTCGTATCTGCTGGTGGTTTTGATTTGCATTTCCCTAATGACTAATGATTTTGAGCATCTTGCCATGTGCCTGCTGGCCCTTTATATATCTTCTTTGGAAAAACGTCTATTAAAATCCTTTGCCTATTTTTATATTGGATTATTTGTCACTTTATTATTGA